CTTTCAGCACTCTTACTACAGTGCATGAATAAGGCGATGGCTCTGATGTGAGTTTCAAAGGACAAATCATGTCGTTTTTGTTGTTCTTTCAGTTACCTTTTGTGTTTAAGACTTTCTTTTCTTTTCAAAGATAATGTCAGAAGGTGTGTACAATGTGAGGTCAGTATGAGTGACAAGCTGACCATGACAGATGATGAACATGAAAACAGAGATCATGTTGTTGTTTTTATATTTTGGAAGAATTCTGAGTTGTTTTTTTATGTTCTTTATGTTCATGTTTTATTTTTTATGCCATTTTAACAAGTGTGCACAATAATGATGATGGCAATGATGATAATGTTCTTCAAGACCACGTACAACATGTGTTTTCTTTTGTTTGTTTTGATGAGAAATGAAACAGTTTGTTGTTTGTTTTGTGGCTCTTTGTATTATAACTGGTACACACAGTAAAGATGATGAAATGATGATTTACTATACGGAGACCATGTGGGGGAAAAAGAGATGATCTGCAGAGTTTGTGTCTGAATGGTTCATTCATTGAATCACATTTAGAGTTTTGATTGTCCTGATTAAATTATGTGTCACAAGAAAACTAAACGTGTTGGATACAGTCAGAAAATAAGAAATGTTGATGTCACTGACTTGAAGTGCTGACTAACATTGTTTGTTGTGTATTTCTGACATAAATCTTCTTCTTGTGTTTTTAGTTATATTTTGGCCTTGTTGTTTTAATGTTTTTGTTCAGTCATAGAGCTACAGTATAGTGATGTTGATGTAGTGGATGATGACGTTCTAGTACAATAACAGTTTGAAAACAGATGTTTAAAAAAATATCACCACAAGTTTGAATGTTTTTACTTTTCTATTTGTATTCATCATAGGGAAAAAGAAACTTGTTAATCTTTTGATGTGTTTTTGATTTAGTCAGTGAATGTGATTTTAATCTTCCTGAATTTGATATTCATGTTTAAAAGTTGTCTGAAGAGGCCGATAGCAGGAAAAGTGAGGCCAAATCTTGTTATTTCAGACAGACGATGAGTTCAGCAAGCTGGACGTGATATTTACATGTTCTTATTTCTGTTTTTGATGTTTTTGATGGAAAATGTTTTTTTCTCTTAATTCTATATGACAAGTGATAAAGATGATATACTGTATGTATAATAAATGTGAAAATGGGCCTGAAGCCACAAATGTTGAGTTAAATTGTGATTAAAGATTTCAGTAGAAATTAATTTTTTCTTCAGTCTTCTTTTGTTCAGGCTGTAAATAATAGCTGTCAACAATCACTCTTTCCAGCTGTTATTCAGAACTATTAATAATCTGTGTGACTGAAATATGGGATAACACATGTCTATAAACAGCAGTTATATATTTTTGCAACACTACAGTCTGAAAGGACAGTAAATTCCTAAAAAATGCAAAAACTGTCCCTCTGAAGAACATTTGTACGGGCTGTTTGTGTGCAAAGCAAACTGATATTTAGAGACAATCATTCTAACTTCAAATCAAAGAACAATAACATGAAAATTAGGAACATTAACATAATACGTCATTATTTGAAGATGTTAGGAGCTAAAATGAAAATGCAACAGAGAAGTACAGAGTAAGAATTGTGGGATATGAAGTTTGGCTGGTGGATTTTCTCCCAGTTGATTAAAGGAGATAATTGTTTTTAGTTCTCTTAAGATGAAAACAATGATTTGATCAGATAATGTTCATTGGCTGAACCAAGTACTCGCTGGGTCATAAAGTCTGCTCTCATACACAACACATCACTGACAACTGAAGGAAAAAACCACAAGGGGGCACTCCAATCACACTCTTTAAACATAAAGATGAACACACCTGTGTGTCTGCTTATTAAGTTTTATTTGTCCACTCAGTGCTGAAGTCTATCCATGGAAATGACTTCAATTCTGCTTCTAGTCTTTCTTACAATAAATTACTACATAAACTAATTTTATGGTTTTAAGCTGTGTGTTGTTTTTTTGTGTTAACAGTGTTTGGATAGGCCTATAGGTGTGTGTTTGGTGGTGTATTACGTACGGTTGGAGAAGCCCAGTTTCAGGCCCTCTTATTTTGGGGTTCACTAGCTGATAGTTTGGGAACTCCTGGTCTACCCAAATCAAAAGAAATATCTAGATCTCCCTATCCCATTTCTCTGAACAATGATTAAGGTCTTTTATATGCTCTTTTGTAAGCGCCTGAAGATAAAAAAAATAAATAATAATAATGATTTGGTGCTATACAAATAATGATTGATCCATCTATCTATTTATCCTTTCAAATTTTCTTTTCTTTTTTTTCGGTTTTACGAAAAAAAAAAAAAAAAAAAAAAACAACTGAAAATAACTATTCATTAAGTTAAATACTGAAACAGTCTTCAATTAAAAATAAAGCAACACTTGGGCTGAATGTTCAACAAATTCATTTGGTAGAATTAAACCAGCGCTATAGTTCAAAACAACCAAAGTTTGGGTAGAATATATAAACCATCAGGCTGGGCTAAACAGGCTGGGCTAACCCTAACCCTACCCTTAAATAACCCGGCATGTAGCTGTTTTTAACTTGACCCAGCAGTACAATCAAAAACTACCCAGGTTAGGTAGTTTTTAACCCAACATGTGTGCAGTATGTGCAGGTCCACTGCATGCACATCTTGTACGGTTCTGCCACCTGGTTTTTGCAGAACAGCATTCATGTTAAACTCAGGTGACTCAGACTGCTGGAGAGCTCTGAGGAGCTCATCTCTCCTCAGTGATTGAACTCATTGTGTCTGACTGCTGTTGTGATAAGCAGAAAACAAACTCAAGCTGTATGACAAATGTGGTAAAAAAATCAGTTATCAGAGTAAAGTTTAAGTAGAATATTAAATCACCGATATTTTTGCCTCCTGCTACTTCCTCACCGTAGAGCATCTTCTTTTCTAGTCTTGTGACTACTCAGAGTACTTTCACACCGCAGGTCACACCTACACATTCACAACCTGATGGCAGAGGCTGCTGGGTAAAGCATCAGAAGTAACTAATCCATTCATACAGATTCATGCGCTGCAGACGAAGCAGCGGGAGTAACTTGGGGTTTAGTGTCTTGCCCAAGGACACATCGGACATGTTGCTGTAGGAGCTGGGGATCGAACCACCGACCTTCAAGAATATCTCACACTCAACTTTAAAAGAGGAACACAGACGTCTAATAAACTGCACCAAAAACAATATAATTAACATTAAAACAACTCTTTAAAGGCACCAACACCACAAACACGACCATCATTTCTTCTGGTCTGGTTTCTTTGGACAAAAATCATGATCTACCTCAACCTGCAGTTTGCTCAAAACCACAAGACAATTTATACTATCAAAAAGCTTTAATATTGAATTGTTTATTGATTATTTGTTTTTACTGGTAATCCGATAATGAACTCTGTATTTGACAAACACGGATACTTTATGATGTCTCAGGAATTCTGAAAGTTAGGTTCTAAATTATAGAGAAAACAGAAAACAGAACATTTTCCAAACAAAGATCGTTAATGATCAGTCTTATAAACTTTATTGACGTAAATAACGATAAATGTAAAATGTGTTTTAACAGATAACTCTGTCACCTCGTCATTCTCATCTTAATAAATTGATTATGAAGGAATCGTTTGTGATGTTTTGATTTAAACACAGACTTTTTGTTTGCCTTGAACTAATTCTGAAGAATACAGTATATCCGTCCTCTGCACAGACAGTGAATGTATGTAGTGTGTGTGTGTGTGTGTGTGTGTGTGTGTGTGTGTGTGTAGACAGTGTCTGCTCTAATACTGTGTGTAACGTACTCTCCCCGTTTATTCACAAATTTAAACTTTTTTTCCGACTGTTCATAATCTGTAAAGCTCCACAGGTTCTTCCTGAAGTCCTTTACGTTGTTGTAAAAGGTAAAGTAACCTATGAAATTATTTAAAAGTAGACACATTTTCACTTTTTAGGACAGCTCGCATTCAAACCTGCGGCTGTGCGTGAATAAGATGAGCAGGTTAAAGTTGTATGTTGCAAAAAACAAATTTCATTTGAAGGGAAAAAACACATTTTAAATAAATACAACACCCTCAGCCCAGCCCAACAAATTCTCACAATTATTTCCAATTGATACAAACCAGTATCGTACTGTCTTCAGTAATAAATTAAAGCCCCCTCCCTGCCACATAACATTTTTGAATGTTGCCTGGAAGTGAATTATTTGTTGCTTTGAACATGATTATTGTTGTTTTAAAATTTGACCAGATTTATGAACTTGAATGAATGCATGTGACTTTGAAGACAAAGTGTCTGCTTGTTCCCTCTACACCACATAGTATACTTTCCTGATTGCTCTCTTTAGAAGTATGCATAATGGTTGTAAGTTGCTTTTGTTAGTGTTGGTAAAGTGCCCCAAACTTCCACACAATAATTCAGATATGGTAAAACAAGTGAAGAATACAGACTATGCAGTGATTTATGGTCTAATAAGAGTTTTGCTGACCCTAGAACAGCAACGCTCTTCACCAGCTTTCATCAAACATAATTGATCTGATGTCTCCAGCAGATTTTGGGATCTTAAATTACACCCCCAATTTATTTTTTTATACCCTCTTTCAATATTAACATTATCGATAATGAGTTGAGCTTGTTTATCTATTTTGTGGTTTCCAATCAACATCAATTTGGTTTTGTTCAAATTGAGTTACTAGTTATTGATGCTAAACCACTGTTTTAATTTAGCTGCTGCAGATTTGTCCCAGAACAAAGATCTTTGGTGTCATAAGTAAATTAAAGGGGCCATATTCTGCTTTTTCTGGTTTTATATGCTCTTCAGTGTGTTTTCCAAGTGTCCTGTGCATGTTTAGGCACATCTATGTGCAAAAATTCAAAGTCCGCAGAAACATAGCTTCTCCTACATCCTCCTGTTAGCTGCAGCATTAGCTGCATGTAACGCTCGGTTCTAGCCCCCCTCGAAATAAATGTGCCAGTGTGACGTCTTGTCAGTGTAATATCACTGATCTAAGCCCATTGGCTCGTTGTGGCAAGCCCAGCAGCTCATGCTGCTCGCCCATTAAACTTCTGTGGCACGCCCACGATATGCTGCAGCCTGTGGTGTTTTGGGGGTCCAAATCAGCTTTTTACGGACTCAGAGCATTATTGGACTCTGCAACCAGCTGACATTGTTGTGGTTAGCCTCTCTCTACTCTGCTGTGTCTCCACTTCTGCATAAAACAGTTTTGTTACTTTGCATTTGTTTATTGGTGTGAGAAGCTTGAACAGTGCTAAAGTTCGGGTTTATGACCGTGGTTCGAGACGGTCTAATGAATGTGTGTGTGTGTGTGTGTGTGTGTATGTGTATATATATATATATATATATATATATATATATATAGGCTATTCAGTAACACGAGAAACGTAAAGATGTGTGCAGCAGGCACTTTGTTTTGAAAGATATGTGTGGTCTGATTATTTAGCTATGAACAAGAAGACAGTGCATTTCTGATTCATGTTAGATTACCATGCTACATTTACATTTTTTCTTTTTTCAGAATACATCACAGCAGATTACAAAGACAACAAGCTCCAGTATCCCAACGTGTACCAAGGTTCCATGATGACGTTGGGTGGCAGACAGACTCCCCACAAATCTCAGAGGCTGCACAGGCATACCTACCTCCAAAGGGGTCATCAGTCCACTCACAGTTGGCCTGGGGTACACTAAGGGACAAGCAAAGGTACGCACACACACACCTAAAAAACTGTCCAACTGCTGAAATCTGAGCAACAATATCAGAAAAATGTGATTTCATTACATGATAGCTGATTTTAGCTTTAGCAACAACCTCTACAGGACAGCTGGTCTATAAGGTGGTATTCCTCAAATCCAAAAAAAACAGACACAACATACAGTGAGTTACAAATTATTTTATTTTTTAAACCCAAAAGCACAATCCATTTTTAAACCTTTAAAGTGATAAATACCTATTTAAATTTACCTTTAAATCTTTGTAAATGTTTCCAAAAAACAGATGAGTGTGAAAAATGAGCAATAACCAAACATTATGAAATAGATTTTTGTTCTTGAATTACTTTTTTACAGGATATGTCGGGGACTTGATGGCACTGGTGTTGGAGGAGGTGTTTCAGGAACCAGAACCATTCATGGAGGAGCTGCAGAAAATACCTGGCTCTCAAAAAGAAGGAGGGGTGGCTCGACACATGTCCAGGTGTAGTCCAGGAGCGGGCCAAAGCCAACATACTGTCCAGTCGGGTCAGGAAACTTGAGGCGAATCCTCAGGTCGACACACGACAGGATAACCACTATGCAGTTGTGTCCCCAAGTATCTCCAGCACCGGCTCACAAAGCTGCGATGAGCTGCCAAGCGTCTGCACAGCCTGTATGGAGACAATAAAGTTGGATGTAAAAATGTTACTTCTCATTGTATATTTACACGTATAGTTCTACACATTGAAATGTTTTTTTTAACCTTAGCTGAGAATAAAGAACTTTCAACAAATGATTTTCTCACTTGTTTACTTTTATTCCTCTGAAATAGTGAAACTGTTTGATTAGAATGAATTTGAAGATGTAAATCATTATTTATAATGAACATACTCTTCTGCAGTTCTCCGTGATGTTCTCCTCTGAAGATGTTGTGAATGTTTTGAAGTGTATATGGGTTTAAACAGTCCTGGATGTTTTCGGTACAAGGAACAGGCAGCGGATTCATTCTCCAGATGAAAGACGAAGATACTGATCAAAATGAAATAATGTTCAATAAGAAGGAAAATAATGACAGAGGAGGAAACATTATTGCATGAGATATTGATCCAACAAACACGTGATTATCACCTGGGCTTTAAAATCTATGATGTCATTGATACTTACAATTGCTCATTGAATTTTTAATCACATCAAGGAGGTGATATACAACGCAGAACAAGGCAGACTTCACAGAAATCAGAGCAGACTTGGCCCACATGGGGTCTTGCAGTGTGGGCACAACAAAGCGTAGCTGACAGACTCAGATCGGAGAGGGTGCAAGGAGGAGCAGTACATGAAAACAAACATGTTTTTTTGAACATTAGTGATTGTGAACGTACATTAGTAGGCACATAAATTAAATATATGAACCCATAAAAGGGCAGAATATGACCCCTTTAAACAACCTTCAAATTTCTAGTTAAAGCTGCAATCCATCCGCAGGAACCAGAAGTTTCAAATCCACATACTATCTTATCATATATTCCACCAGACTCCACACATTTTCTGTTGTTGATCTGTTTATATTGATTTAATTGATTGAAAGAAAAAAGTTCTCCATCCCAGTGCATCCAGATAGTCAATATGGGTTTATCTTTTCCTATAATAGGCGTGTCTACACCTAGAGCAGGTGTCCTTAAGGATATTCCAAAGTCCAGATGTGTTTTATAGAGCACTCAAGGACCTCTTACTGTACCCCTCTTTATACTGCCCCCTTGTGGGTTACGTTTAAGAAGGCAAGCATCCAGATGCTCCAGGTTGCCTATAATGATTGTATGTGTGAAATGAAAACCAAGATGGGGCAGTGCAAGTGAAATGTTTTGTAATGTAGGAGTCAACACGTTCCAAACTCTGTTGAGAAATATGATGTACAAATTTATCTGTCGCCTGAATGATTCTCATAACTATATCTTCATGCTGTTGTCAAATCCTCATCTCAGTGCTGTACAATACCAGTCACCTTTGTGGAAGCATTGGTATAATTGCCTTATACCTATTTTTTAACTTCTATGTCTTTTAAATGGACCTTGAGTCTTCCCAATAAAGCAATAATAATAATAATTTTCCTTTAATAGTTGTGGCTGCACCCAGAGCAGGTGTCCCTAAGGATATTCCAAAGTCCAGATGTGTTTTATAGAGCACTCAAGGACAACCTGCAAAGCTTACATCTCCCTGCAGGTTCAACTCTTTTGCAGTATGTGGTAGAGGTGAGCCCGAATTCAAAAAGGAATTCAGAAAAGGCACGAAAAATTAGATGGATACTTAACATCATAGTTAACATCATCCTGTACCTACGTGACTGTCAGTATGTGTTTATGTGACTGGTTAGTTATAAAACCTCTGGACCGAGACAACAGAAGAAGCAAACTTCTGAACCTTATCGTAGATGAAAGAGCTCTGCTCCAACTCAGAGTAGTTTTGTTAGATAAGATTAACTTTATTGTCCAAGTGAAATTTGCTCTGATGCAGTAAAAAATTATCAAAGTACATTCATTCATCAGTAAAACATGTCTGTAATGAAGATAATAAAAGTAAACTCAGTTGGGACACTAGTCTGTTGCTTTTCACTGGATTCACTCAGGTGTGTCGGCCAGAACACCACTTCAGGCCTTATTCCAGAATATGAATAACAAGAATGCAGAATTGGTTGAATGGCTGTTTACTTTTCTTGTAGTGAAACAAAATACAGGCATCTCAGTGGCCATTCAATATGACAGAGTATTGGGTCTTGTTGTGGCTTTCAAAGAAAAAGAATAGCAGAATATATACTTAAGGAACACAAATCTACCTATATAATAACATACAAACCTCTATACAGTAACGTAATAGGTTATAATATGTAAATAAATAAAGGTAAGCTACATGTCTCTTTAACCTAAAGTATTAAACACAGAAAGGCTGTCATAGGCTTAACAGTCATACAATCATTTCCCTATAAAAATACTACGATGCTTTTATTGTGAAGCACGGACATCAAATTATCCTCCTCGTGCAGAGAGCAACACAGTTAGCAAACTTTGTAACCAACAGGCAACTAAAATAACATTAATATTAACACGGGAAAGAATAAGCATGACTCTTTTTCAACTACTGTGTGACTCCAACTGAGCCGGGGGACAGTTAACAAGCATACTGCGGTCAAGCCAGCCGCTCCTCCAGTTTACCTGGTGAAGTGAGCCGGCCCTAAATCTGAAGTGCTCACGTATTCTGATCTTTACGGTAAATGCTCCGGACTGCAGAGCGAGCAGGAGGAACAGACAGAGAGTCTGTTATTAATCTCCTTTTCCAGACAAAAGTGATAAATGCTGAAGTCTTAGCATAAAACTGGCTATGAGATACACGTGTATGAAACGGGAGCAAATAAAATACTGTTCAGGGAATAGCTTCGGAGGTCACGGAAATTAGTGTGAGAATAATTCTGCGAGTCTGCAGTAACTTCCGCTTTTCAAAATAAGGTGTTTTCCTTTAGAAAAAAAAATATATATGTATGTGTTCTTCCATAAGTAGACAATGATTCAGATATGTTTGGACTTAGTACTTCTTAGACTACATGCACAGGTACTATGAAATACTTTTACTGTGTACTTTTTGAGAAAATCAACTGTCAAAGTCTCTATAAATCATTATAATGAGTCTGCTGGCTTGACTACAGTACAAGCATGTCGGGGCCGTGACATCGGCTAATTAGCATAACTACAATACGCCGAACATCTAAGCTCTAAACTCCGGCTCCGCGGGAGTTAACAACTGTTTCTCGACATTAAAGAACACACAATGTCACATATAAGACTTCAGGTTTGTACTCACTCTTTTCATTCACGCACAACCAACTTATGAAGTGATTACTCTGCACACTGATGGCTCATCTGTCATCGACTGATGCACACTGCTCATTACTACATGATGTAATTCGCTGTATGACCAGCAGGTGACACCTGTCCCCTATTGAGCACAATATCATCACATTAAACTGAACAGGAATCAAACACTATTTCAACATAAAGCAAAAACCTTAACATGTAACTTTGGGGCCTTTTCTACAATGTCAGTTAAATAATCATTAGATTTGGTAGCCTACATAGTTAATTACGAAAAAAATAAACATGTAATAATGATTGTTGTGACTTTGTCTGTTTAAAAGTTTGATTGTTAATTTGCTGATTAGAATTTGACTCAAGACCTGTTTGATTAACTTTCATAGGAATAAATTACTTAAAGGAAGACTGTGAGACATTTTACACATAAATAAATCATAAATCCAGTCTCTCCTGTGTGAATGTGTCTCTGAGTCCTGACTGTCTACAATGAGGGAGAAGCTCGAGTCCCGCTGGCTGTGTTGTTGTCAGAGCCGTGTTTACATGGACGGCCGGCTCCTCCCCTTGTGTTTAAAAGCTGTTTTAGTCAAGAACTAGAGAGAAGAAGAAGAACATACTCAGTGATTATTTGGATGTTAGTAAGAGTTTTTAAATCATGGTCATTCTGTGTCAATTTACATGCAACGTGAAGCTACAGGCTAACTAAAGAGCGCTAACTTTAGCATGCTAACACAACAATGCAGCTCGAGCAAAGGATAATTATATTTTACGCTTGCGCTTAATGGTGC